GCTATATAAAAAAAAATAGAAGGCAAACACTATGGAATATCTGTAAGAAGTCTCCAGAGCAACCTTCATATTTAAAGGACATTTTAAATTATCAAAAGTGTATTTAATATAGCTCTGGTGTGCTTTCAGTAAAAGCCCGCATCAATAGGGAAAGCCACTTGTGCTGACTATTTAAGTTGGGCTTAGCTGTGCTAACATCTTGAGAGCTTTTCAACCATTTTCAGCACATATCTATTTTAGTCATCTGTGTTTATTTTGTACTGTTTACACAAAGTCTCCTTCAGCCAAGACTTGTGGCTATGCTGGATACTATTTCATACTGTGCCAGTTTGAAACAGTAAAACTCTAAAATGACCTGGTTAAGAGAATTATGCAGAAACTTGATTGACAAAAGAGTGTTTGAAACACTTACGCTGAAATAGTTTGAGAATTTTCAACTCTTCCTATAAAAATCTAGTGACAAATCAAAATACAAGAGAGATTAAAATAAAGAATGATTTGTTCTGTATCCCCTGAAGTTTTGATATAGAAACATAACTAAGAATGGACCATTACTCTGCAATTAGCTGCTGAAGGACAAAACACAAGGTTGTAATTCCCAGAGCAGTTTGTAAGTAGAACTGTTTGCAGTTCATCAAAATGGGTCCTTTTACATTATAGAATTAAAAATGTTTTGGGTCAAAAAGCATACTGCATATTTTTGTAAAACCTAGTATGAGAGAATTCTGAAGTCAGTTTTTGTAAAGCAAATAATACTGTACCAGAAGGAGAGAGAAAAAGGATGTTTACTTGACACAAAGTCACGTGTGTTACTGGTTTGCTTGGACATTTCTGGCCATTCTAAACAGTCATAAGCAGGTTTCAGTCTTCATGGAAGGTGCTCTATGTATGATTATTTCTCACCATCATATAAACTATTTTCAGTCTAGTTTTCAAACTTGAACTGACCCTTGGGCCAAGATCAGCCATGCCTACTCAGAGAGCATTGATACCCAGAGGAGTAATATAAGGGAATCAGATTTTTTGTACTTATTGCAAAATAAGTAAAAAAAGATAAAATAAAAAGGTTTAAATACATCATTCTTGTCTAGGGTTTTGCTGTCTTTTGCCAAAACTAAGACAGGAACCATTTCCACTGGGTACACAGGAAGTCCTCCATCATGATTCTTTCAACAACTATCCCCTTGTCTGACAGATTCCCCCCTAAGAAAACCACTTGCTGTCATTTGTTGTTCCTTGTTCTTGAACTTTAGCTCTTCTTGTCAAAATAAGTTTTGCAGATGGAGGAGACTAAACAGGAGATAAAGTCATACAAGCTAACAAACCTGTCATTGTCTTTTGACAAGTCTTGTGCATCTGCAGAGCATGGAAAGTCTTGTGACATTTTTCTTCTATGCTTACTTCCTCTTACGGAAGTTCCCAATTTACTGCTATATCCATAGAGTAAATAGTGAACCCAATGTACAATAGCCATATTGTTATTTCACAATACCATCAAGTCATAACAGATGGTGCCATGGGTATTACATACTAGAAAATATATTTGTGAAGCCACAGCCAAAAATTTTAGATTTCTAATGTTTCCTAAGAATATTTGGAGATCATAATACAGAAATGTATGCATGTGAAATGTTCATATTTTGACTCCAAGGAGAATCCTGAAAAATCCACTTCAGGAAAATGATAGAACATTTCAGCATAAAATAATTCAAAGCCACTTAAGCATATATAGGTTGCAAGAAGTCTCTGTATGAATAACATCTCCAAGTTAACCTAATAAGCAGCAAAATATCTTTAAAAATATTATGCATATTAGAGATACACAGTTGACTGACTATAAAATGTTCATGGTATTATGAATTAAGAAGAAAAAAACCCAGCAAAACACAAAACCCTGCTTTAGTCAAGGAAAATGAAAGACAGATAAATAACCAAGCCACATAATTAAGGAAGAGGTGGACTTTTTAACAGCTTTCCTGCTTGTAATTTCTGTGGTGTTGCTAACAACAGAGAGGAAAAAGAGTTTAAATTATGCTAGCTTTTGTTTTTTTCATTGTATAAGCATTAATTGTACTATAAGATGAACTGAAGTCTGCATTTCAAATAGAGATTTAAACTATATGCTATATAAAACCCCCAAAGTAATGTATTCAACCACAAATTAAACTCTGAATGGCACATATATTTTCTAAGAGTTTTGAAGTAAATATACCAATTAAACTACAAGTTAAAATTATCATATTGGAAATTAAAACAAGAACTTCAGGTTCTAGAGGCAGACTTTTTGACCTCTTTCTGATTTTGGAATATCAGCGTCATTCAGATCTCCTGAACAGTTAATTCTAACAGAAATCCAGTTCTACACATAATAGTCATGACTGAATATATAATAACTTCTTCATTATCAGAATTCCTAGTTCTTATCAGTGTTAGAATTCTTATCAGTGTTGGTTTAAATAGGTATAAACAAATTAGTCTGTAAAAATTAGTTTCTTTAACTCAAATGCAAATTTAAGAAGTCTACAGTCAATCATAGGGGTTTTGCACAATGTCATTACTGGATTGAAAGATCGTAAAAGTAACATTTTCATACTTGGGCATTTGCTATATTACATTATAATTCTGTTAAATTTGATTCTGTTAAATCTCATCTCTGAACTCCTGCATTTACAGTGCTCAGCTGGAGACAATTGCAAACACCTTGTTATACAATTTGCTCCAAAATCCTGTCGAATACTGCCGGCTACAACACCATTCAAATGTATTCTGGTGTGTTTTATACCTATCTAGGTTAAAAAGAATCAACAAATAAATACATATGGGGAACCATTCTGGGTACACAGAATATTTGGATATCTTTTTCTCACACAGAGTCTGAACAGATCACTTAGCTTTGTTTATCACAATGATTTTGAAGTTAGGGTTTTGAGGATCCAACTTTTAGAGGTAGTGTGCACCCAGTCTCCATTGAGACTTGTGCGGTTCAGCAATTTTGAGAACCAACATCCTCATGTTCTTTTTAGCACAAATAGTAAAACTTCTGTTTATGTTGTGTAAGGCTGAGTGACAAAACAGCAACTTAGAAGGCAAGCTCTTACTGAAGCATAAAAGTTACAGATGTAAAAATGGCTTAGCAAGTCTCCTGTTGAGATCATCCAGCAGGTCACTTGAGGATAGTCTGGCTGCTGACTGAGACTTCTGAGACTTTTCTTTTCTAGATTCTGCTAAATTATCCTAGCTAGTGATTTGGCCTTATAAATATTTAGGAGCATCTGCATTGCTTTTTAGGAGAGATGAAATCTGGAATTTCCCTGGAACTCCTCACAGTTTCAAGTGCTAATTGGTATGATCTTTTTGGAAGGTGGATACTGAGCAATAAGCTCCATTCCTGCAGCTACACAGAACATTGTTAGACTGCTCTTGGGTGGCTGCCCAGAAGCATGCACCTCTTCTGTGCTCTGTTCACATTCCTAACACAGGAACTAGTGTTCCTCCAAATGATCTATTTTTACTAACCTCACACTGCATGGAGCAGCCCAGGAACAAAATCTCACAGGCATTTGTGGCATTTCTTCTAACTTTGGACACAACTCACACTGTTCATGACTAGACTCCTCCAGCCACAACAGAGGGAACTGACTGACCGGTGCCATTGCCTGTCAGTATCTTCTAGCAAAAAATGGAAAGATAAAAAAAAGCTGAATGGGGGTCAAGATTCTGAACAGTGCTGGTTCAGATTTGCATCTGACAAGCCTGAGGAAAAGCCAACATGCACCCTCCTTTCTGCCAACTTCTGAACTTGGTACTGGGGGTTCCTTTCTCACCACTTTAGCATGTGTTCAGTAGTCTCAGGGTTCAGAATCAACACAGCTGTGGGATATGGCACAAACATCATGTTGAGGACACAAAGGAAATCCTTCTTGGGAAAAAACATACGTACAAACATTCATATAAGGGCAGCAGGGAGAGCTCAGAAGATTTTGAAATTGTGCCTCTAACTGGACATTATGAGCTAGATGCCTAAGCCTGATGTAAAGGCTCCACAGAAAGTACAATTATTCTCCACAGAAGCCTCAATTTTCTGTGCCTTTGTGTCAGTAGCACCTTTCTAAAACACTGTTAAAAAAACTCCTGAAGAAGGGCCTGATCCTAGAGAGATTCTTCATAACAATAACACATAACTGCCTTGAGCAGTTGATGTACTCAGTCACTTAAAATTATATTAATTTAGGCCCTAGGAAAGAAAATGGGATAAAAACAACTATGTGAAAATCAACAAGGGGAAGAACATCAAATGAAGTTGATGTATAGTGTAATCTTAAAAAGATTTAACCAAATTAAAGTTATTAGAGTTCTAATCAAGTTTCCCTAATTGCTCACAGTTCATAATTGTTACTGTTATTTTTAAAAATATATACTTAGGAAAAAAAAAATAAGCACTTTGTAGTTTATTTTTTCAAAAAACATTGAACTAAGTTCAATACAGAAAGAAACATAGCTATTTAACAGGTCACAGTTAGGGCAATGTACATAACTTGCTTGAAGTTGCTCAACCTATCAGTGACATCACAAGAAACAGAATTCAAAACTCAGAATCACTGGATTCTCAACTTCAGAACTTTTTAGAGAGTAATTTAAAAAATTTAGACATCATTATTTTGCCATGTGAGTATGTGCAACTTCATATGTGTGGAATTACCTTGACCACAAAGACTTTGCTGGGTAGTTTCTTTGGTTTTATGCAGACTGGAAAAAAGGTATATAAAAAAATACTTCCACAGAAACAGTGTCAATGCTGTCAAAATGCAGCTCTGGGAAATAAACAGAAAGCTGTAATTTGTAATGACTATTCAAAAGCTCATCAGAAAGCTGGATACACAGATTCTAACTGTACATGCTACTGAATAAACAGAATCAAAAGCACCACTAACTGTAAATCTGCAAGAGCTGAGGTAATGTCTGAATAAACACCCCTCCAAATATCCTCATGTTATCCTTACCAGATTAATCAGTCTTCTCATTGCATGTTCATGCGAGCAAATGCATTCACAGGGATCAAATCCACCTTCTGCCATGGCTCTCTGGATAAACCTGAACTTGTTTGTGAACACCTAAAAAGAACAAGAATGAAAGGACAATGAACTCTTTTTCAACTGACCTTATTTTCCAGAAACTCACACATCAAGTTTCAGTTCATTTAATGCCAGGGTGAAAAAGCAAAACAAAGCAGGGTAATCCTATTATTCCTTTGGCAGTATGAATGAAGAAGTCTGGTATGTGTAGTTGCATTTCGATGTTGCTGAAAACAGTGTCACACAAATTTTTTTTGCAAGACTGTGTGTGTCTCCCCTGGGTTTTCTCACATACCAAAATGAATACATCCTAACAAACACGAAGTACAAAAATTAAATTCTTGTCTCTCATCTGCACAGTGGGACTCTTAAGTGTACATACATAAATTAAAAGGTATGGGGAACTTGTACTCCTAAACCCTAATAAACTGCTGGCATTCTCCCTCCAGGTCAATGTACAGGAAAATAATTTAAAACTCAGTAAGTTTTTTGCTAAAGGAAACAATCATCTTTGTTGTATAATGAAAGCAAGCAGCAGGGGTACAAAAGTGAATGTACTTATAAACACTAAAAATGGAGCTGTGCACACTAATTTTAGATCAAAGAAGTAGGTTAATCACTTAGTAATACAGAATGCTCAAAGAAACTGTGCATGGACATGGTAGGAAATAAATTCTAGATTATTCACCTGCTAAAACCACTTATACCAGAGATGTCAGGTGTTTTCAAATGTATGTTCACTATTTACCAATAACTTTTCATTTATTTAATTGAGGGTCAAACCATGCAACAGACTGCAAGGCATTTCTATCCTTGTGGTCAAATCTGGAATTGATTTCTCTCTTTGGACATATTAGGTAGTTCTGCAAAACCATACTTAGGAAAAGCTACATTCAGAATGCATTACTTTTGCATGCACTCAGGCTCTAAGATGACACAACTGGAAAGCTTAACAAATGCAGCAGCGCAGAGCAGATACAACCTCTCAATTCCTAAAACAAGTACTTCCTGAGCATTTGTGTTTCAGTGTCACTAGAAGAAAGAGGAAGAACCTATTTGTCTGTAAGACATCTTCATTCAACAGAATATAAGACTGCTACCATTCTGCCCTCTTGGGGGGAGAAAAAAAGCAAATGCATTTCAGAAGTCCTTCCTTTGTTAATGCCTACTATTCTTCTGAATAAACCTTCACCATGGTGGAGAGAACCAGAGAGTAAAAGAAAGAGATATTTGTCTTAATTATGGAGTTTGAACATTAATGCCCTTAACCTGCTAGGGACTCCACTTTTTAAAAATTAAACTGAAAAAGGAAAGAAGAAAGTTGAAGTGATGGAGGAATTTTTTTTTGCCTAGATACTAAGAAAGCATAATCTGGCTATGTAGTGAGAAGATGACTGGGAGATGACTTGATTATGTAGCATCTTTGAAAAGAAAACCAGGCCCAAGTATTGAAGTCTTCAATGAAGAGGTAATTAAGAACCAGTAACTGGAAGCTGTAATTAACCAGATTAACAAGACATACATTCTTACCATCAGGGTAACTGATCAATGCAACAAACTGCCCAAGAAGCAGTAGATTTCCTACCACTCACTGAATTCAGATATGCTTCAGTAAAATACAGATTACCGAGTGTCTTGGTTTGAAAGACAGGTGTCTGCTAAGGAAGGCAGAAGCCTCCCTTGGAATGGAAAATGTAAACCCCTTCCCTCCAAATTATTATAATTTTGATATTAAGGGGCTCTCAGGCAAAGATATGGGAATAGGAATAACAGATCTTTACTAGTATGCACAATAACGCAAACAAACAGCAACAACAGCTCTGGCATTAGCCCCAAACAGAACAGGACCCGGTGACCCTTCCCGGCCGCAGCAATTTCCCCTCGTGCAGTTCCGGGCACGGCCGACAGGGGCGCTGGTGGCTCCCGGCCGGACAGGGCAGGGGCGGGGATTCCCCCGCGCCGGCAGGGGGCGCTGTGGTGCGGGCTCGGGCCACACGCGGTAATGGCGGCTCGGCCGGGACGGGAAGGGATGGGAGCGAGGCTTTGCTGCACAAACCCCCCTGGGACATCGATCCCGGGCCCCTGCAGGACTCTCGGGAGCAGCAAGCAGGGCCGGCAAGGTGTCTCGGCAGGCAGGGCACGCGGGGCTACAGTGCAGCGAAAGCTCGGAGCAGCGCCGAAGATGCGGCGGGGGCGAGGCAGCGGCAGCCCGGCTCCCAGCAGGGCATGGAGAGGCGAGCTCAGGATCCCGGGCAGCCGAGCAGATGGTGAAAAGTCCCTCTTTTAGTGAGGTAGGTGTTAATAAGGTCTCAGTTCAGTGGCTGCCCTCACGAGCAGAGGCTCACCCCACGGAAGAAGAAGCAGCTCAGGGCTGGGCTCCGCCGGCAGCGGGGAATTCCCTTCCCCAAGCAGCAGCTCCGAGAGACAGAGAGCCAGCAGCCGCCCCAGCCCCGTTCTTTACCTGCCCAATTCTCCCGGTCTCTCTGCCCTCGGAGAGAAACTCCCAGATAAGAGAAATACAACCAGAGGTCCTCCTCCCCTGAGCCTGGCCACTTCTTTTGTATTTCTTAAGCACCCAGTTGTTAGTGTTTCCTAGCAACTTTGGGCAAAAATTCTATAAGTAAAAAGGAACAAAAGGAAAGAAACCTAATCCTGACACTGAGTAAAGTACAGAAGCACCAAAGTTCAGATATAATGTCCTCCAATATATAGGAGATCAGAGCAGATGATCTAATAACTCTTTTTGAGAATTGTTGTAAGGTTACTACACTTACTTTAATGAAATTATTTCAGAACCATTAGAACCACATGATAGCAATAGAAGAAAATTTTAACTACACAGTCTCCCTGAGTAATATACCACACCAGGCAGAGAAGCCTTTCTAAAACTATCTTAGGATAAGGAACAGATAAAAGCACTGCTTACTAAATAGTGCAAAATAGCTTCTCTGGATATAATGCTGACATCCACAAGAATGTATTTGAACAAGTGAAGGTGCAAAAAAATAGTTAATTGTAACTTGAAATAATTTAGGGGTCAGTAACACATAATAATGTCACAGCAATTAACAGACAAGTGTTTATATTATAGAGGACTACACAAAAACCAAACATGAAATAAGAGTCACCACTGATGAAACCAGGCTAACATTCTCTAAAGAGCATACAAGTGAAAAAGTTTAAAGAATAAATGGGAAAAGTTAATCTGCCATACAACATCATAGATTTAAGAGGAGGTATGCTAGAAGGGATTTACCCCAAGGTACCCGTACATGACAACCTCAATGAGTTAAAGAAAGCAAAGGACATATCACCAAGTAAAATGTCATCCAAGCTTTGAACAAAAGACCTCTTACAAGCTTTCCCACCTTCACATAATGCTGAAATTAATCATCCTTTCTTTCCTCTAAGCCTAAAACAAACTCTTTCATTGGCAAAGAAACAAAGATTGACCATGTATTTTGAGAACAGGCAGTAGGTTTTCCCCTAAAAAAAGATGCTAAAATTGGGTTATTTTAATGCCTATAATCCAGGTAAACAATTCTCCTTTGTGCAATTATTTTTTTGCCAAAACTGAAGGAAACAGAGATTTTATACATGTCTGCCCAGTTATAAAGAAGAAACACTCTATGCTATATGATGATTTTTACTTGCAAAATTATACCCTCATGTCTTTATTTCTCTTTAAAATATTCTTGACTTAACTATGTTATTTGTATCACACTTTAAATGCATAAAGTACTCTGTAATCAGATCTTAAGGATTATTAGCATTTTGTGACCATAAGAATAATAGACTAGTATTTTTATATACCACAAAGCAGGATTTCTTGGCTCCTTAGGCAGCCTGTTTGTATCAAAATCCTGTTCCAGAATTGCAGTGTGCTTCCTGCCTGCCTCCGGGTATTTGCAATTGTCTGATCTCACGTCAGCAGCTAACTTGTTCTGCTCAGCTCTGACCTCTTTGCTGTGAGTCACACAAGCTCTCCACCTTTTGCAAATACAGTCATTCTACATACAAACTATCACAGAAAATTGAAGTATGTACTCTATTCTGTTCTTCCTGACTTGGATAAAGAAAGAAAATGTTGTAGTTTTCTTTTACTTACTTTTTCCTGTATGTTTTTCTGTTTATCATCTCCTTGTTTTCCTTGGAGTTGATAGACTTGGTTTATATCAGTTAGTCGGATCGGAGCAATTGGTAAGGCTATGATGTGAAATCCCTGCAAGTCCTCTGACTAGCAGTGTCTTTTACTCAACTCAAAATTACCATATTTTGGGTTGGCCATATTACTGCTAGCACAGTATTTAAATCAGAGGTTTTACAAAGGGCTGGAAGACATAGTCAGTAAATACGCCAAAACTCTCTATGATAACAGCTGAGAAGAGATCTATGGCCTCCAGACTAGCAAACTGATAGACAGCATAATAGAGGAGAGAATTAGTAAACATGGACAAATATGATGTACCATCAGAGACTCAATATGAACATGTCAGTGTAAAGAGGCCCACAGAGGTAATCATAAATAGAACTGCTGAAATTAAAATACTGTGGTCAAGAGTTTGAATTACTGTAATTCAGGAATAAAGTGGAGGATGGTCTCTGATGATTTAAGTCAGAAATAAAAGCCCCTTATTACTTTTTGAGTATCTATTTAAAATTGTAGCCAGTGAAGCCATATGGAAAATATTTCTGGTCTCTTATGATTTAAAAAATAGTATTCTCAGTTATAGTAACTATTGTAAATTGTTTCTTTTATTATCTTCCCCACTCCCAGCCCTACAGCAGTGTGTTATATTTTATACATCCTACTATCAAACCCACAATCTTTATGGCTACAATCTGGCTTGGGGGGGGCGTGGGGGGGGGGTTGTCCCTGGAGACTGTTCCGTATTTTGAATTACTGCAATGACTATATATTATTTCCCAATCCTGCAACACCTGAGTAAATAGCATGCAGCTGGTGAGCACTTGGAGACAGAAATTATGCTCTGCCTTGCTCTGCTGTAATAATTCCAAAACTTGATTCCTTTCTATCA